TGGCTCTCGAGATTCGGAGGGCGGTGCCTCTTCGATTTTGGAGCAAGCAATCTTGTTGGGGATGTTTTCTCGAATGTGAGTAAAGGTTGGGCATGTTTGCTAGTCTATCTTGCCACGAAGCACAGAGGTTGACACACAGGGACTTTCCAATTATCCAGCAGTGGTACTGTTCATTTACCCTCTCTTCGATTTTTGAGAAAGTAATCATGTTGGGAGTCTGGCTCTCGAGATTCGGAGGGCGGTGCCTCTTCGATTTTGGAGCAAGCAATCTTGTTGGGAGTGTTTTCTCGAATGTGAGTAAAGGTTGGGCATGTTTGCTAGTCTACCTTGCCACAAAACACAGAGGTTGACACACTGGGACTTTCCAATTATCCAGCAGTGGTACTGTTCCTTTACCCTTGTGGGTAATAATATGGTAGCTAGACCTTCAAAATTTATGTGTCTAAACTTTGTTAATGTTGTTTCTTTGCTATTCTTTTACCCTTCTTGGTCAGAGCGATGTAGTGAGAGCTACAAGCTTCACGTGTCTCAACTTTGTCAGAGAACTTTGGCAAAGTTATATGTGGTACCCATGAGCTACTGTTGCGTGTGGGAAGTGGGTGATTGAACAGTACGATTCATGTGCTTTCTACTTCGCCAGAAATCTTCGACAGAATGCCCATAATTTCCGCAAAGCTGAGTGTGCGTGTGACAGGTGCTGACAAGGCTGGAAAAGTAGGTGCCTCTTCGATTTCTGAGATCGGCCCTCGTGGTCTCTGAGCAGCCCATCTTTTGAGAAAGCAAACCTCTTCGATTTCTGAGATCGGCCTTCGTGGTCTTTGAGCAGCCCAGCTTTTGAGAAAACAAACGCCTCTTCGATTTCTGAGATCGACCCTCGTGGTCTCTGAGCAACCCAGCTTTTGAGAAAGCAAACGCCTCTTCGATTTCTGAGCAGGCGCCTCTTCGATTTCTGAAGCTTCGTCGAGTGCAGATTTTTATAGGGGCTGACATTAAGTTCCAAAGCACACTTGAATATCCACCAGTAGAAGCTCTATTCTTGCACTTCGAAGATCTTGATTTGTCCGACCTCTTCTCTCTTCAACACCCTTTGAAAATGTCTGGCCCCTCCGACCGTCGTTTTGACTTGAACCTTGTTGAAGAGGCAGCCCCGCCTTCTCCAGACAACATATGGCGCCCATCCTTCGTCTCCCCTACTGGTCCTCTTACCGTTGGGGATTCCGTGATGAAGAATGATATGACCGCTGCGGTAGTGGCCAGGAACCTTCTCACTCCCAAAGATAACAGACTACTTTCCAAACGGTCTGATGAGTTGGCTGTTAAGGATTCTCTGGCTCTTCAGTGTTCAGTGTGCAGGTTCTGTGTCTAATATGGCCCAACGCCTATTTGCTCGAACCCGCCAAGTTGAATCATTGGCGGCTGAAGTGATGAGTCTCAAACAGAAGATTAGAGGGCTCAAGCATGAGAATAAACAGTTGCACCGGCTCGCACATGACTATGCTACAAACATGAAGAGGAAGCTTGACCAGATGAAGGAATCTGATGGTCAGGTTTTACTTGATCATCAGAGATTTGTGGGTTTGTTCCAAAGGCATTTATTGCCTTCGTCTTCTGGGGCTGTACCGCGTAATGAAGCTCCAAATGATCAACCTCTGATGCCTCCTCCTCCTTTTAGGGTTCTGTCCAGTACTGAGGCTCCGAATGATCCCCCTCCGGTGCCTTCTCTTTCTGGGGCTCTACCGACTACTGAGACTTCTCCTAAGCAACCTTTGTGAAGGCTCCCTCTTGTTTTTTATTTTGACTCAAGTATATGTACATATTTGTAACTTATCGGGGATATCAATAAATAAGCTTTCTTTCATTTCAACGTATTGTGTTAAATACCCCAAAGTCTTCTTCGCTAAGTTCTTTGAATTTTCTTTTGTTGAAGCTTGTATGTTGAAGCTTTGTGAGTGGAGCATGTAGGTTGAGGTAGTGTTCCCTTAATTTCCCGAGTGTGGAAAACTTCTCGGTTGGAGACTTGGAAAATCCAAGTCACTGAGTGGGATCGGCTATATGAATCTTAGAACGCCATTGTGTTCTGTCCTGTGTCATGTCCTCCGTCAGATCCAAGTACTCTAAGTCTTTTCTTAGGGTCTCTTCCAAAGTTTTCCTAGGTCTTCCTCTACCCCTTCGGCCCTGAACCTCTGTCCCATAGTCGCATCTTATAATCGAAGCGTCAGTAGGCCTTCTTTGCACATGTCCAAACCACCGTAACCGATTTTCTCTCATCTTTCCTTCAATTTCGGCTACTCCTACTTTACCCCGGATATCCTCATTCCTAATCTTATCCTTTCTTGTGTGCCCACACATCCAACGAAGCATCCTCATCTCCGCTACACCCATTTTGTGTACGTGTTGATGCTTCACCGCCCAACATTCTGTGCCATACAGCATCGCCGGCCTTATTGCCGTCCTATAAAATTTTCCCTTGAGCTTCAGTGGCATACGGCGGTCACACAACACGCCGGATGCACTCTTCCACTTCATCCATCCAGCTTGTATTCTATGGTTAAGATCTCCATCTAATTCTCCGTTCTTTTGCAAGATAGATCCTAGGTAACGAAAACGGTCGCTCTTTGGTATTTCTTGATCTCCGATCCTCACCCCTAACTCGTTTTGGCCTCCATTTGCACTGAACTTGCACTCCATATATCTGTCTTTGATCGGCTTAGGCGAAGACCTTTAGATTCCAACACTTCTCTCCAAAGGTTAAGCTTTGCATTTACCCCTTCCTGAGTTTCATCTATCAACACTATATCGTCTGCGAAAAGCATACACCAAGGGATATCATCTTGAATATGTCCTGTTAACTCATCCATTACCAACGCGCTGTTATGATTCATAACTAGGCAATTTCCTCTCATATTTCCTTTGGTTGTGTAATGATTTCCTTTTGTCCTAACTTCACTTGCCATCATATGTTCAGGATTGGGTTACCCTTGGTAGAGCACAGTTAAACTTTGGGGAGCCTGATAGTGCCATTCAAAGCTTCGACAGAGCCTTAGCCATCAAGGTATTGTTTCACCTTTCAAGAAATTATAATCTGTAGTTCTCAAAGCTTCTTACGCTATTTTCTGATGCGTCTTTGAGCCACTGACCTTAGGTTGGAGTCTGATACTGCAATATTATGTGCTAATCTAATAAACCTGCAACTTATTCATCTTCGTCATGAGTAATTTTTGGTTTTTTCATTGAAATAGGGATTTAGTGGATGATTGTTTTCAACACATATTAGTTAAAATGAGTTAAGTATTGGGTGCCAATCCCATGTCTGCAAATCACAGTACCCTAAGGAAAAAACATTGTCTGCACGATCTGTAATACATGTTCAAGCAAGAATCTTTTCCCAAACTAAAAAGCTTACATTTCAAAACGTGTAAAAGATGTGCCACTATCATCTTACGGTCTTTATTTTTTGTTTTGTTGGGTGATGCAGTTTGATCGAATCAGTTTGAATTGAATAATCCTTGAAGTGACAAGAAGGAACTGACTAAGCAAGTAATAATTCTTAATTACTTACATGTTTTCATTTTAATTTATGATTTGATTGGCCCTTTCTTATATAAATTTCGAGCTCCTTAATTGTTGGACCATGGATATGTTATGAGTGCTGATTAGCGTATGTGTGTAAATATAGTGTATGGGTGTTAAGTACTTCAGATGTTATTGACGATCTCAGAAGAGAAGGGGCATCCCCTTCTTCTGCTTTTTCTTTTCTCGCTTTCTATCCTACAGTTGTTTCGTCTTCGCTCATTGCAAATGTATTTGTATTTTGAATTTATTTTATCCATATTACTGAAAAGATGTTGTGATCTCTTAGAGTTCAATGGAAGCACTTGAATCGGTTGTGTGAATTTTATGATAAATTATGCAGTTTTGGGTTTGAATCTTTGTTTGGTGATTGGAGATTGATTTCTCTGTTTCTTCGTTGCCGATTCAGTTGCTCCAATGGCTTCATCAGAGAAGGTTGTGTCTGCTGTTGGTATGCTTGCTGTTGTTTCTCACGTTGTTAATTGTTTTTTAATTTTGTTGATTTGATTAACGGTACAAGCATATCTTTATTTATGTTTGTATCTTGATTTGCTTAACAGTTCAAGCATATCTTTTTTGTGTTTATTATTTCCTTGGTGTTTAGTTTTATTTGAATTTCTTAATTTGTTCAAAGGATGCTTTAGGTAGTATCCACTTTCTATGTTTTTTATTAACTGCTAAAATAGGTGTCTGCCGCACATGACATATATTTTGCCATCTTAAAGGGCAAAATATGTGTGAACTGCATGTTGCTTTGGTTTCTTCTGTTTTTTATGGAAACAGAAAATTTTTGGCGACCACGTGTTTGTGATCAAGAACGTTAAGTTTCGTTCTACTAATTGTACAATGTCTTTACATGTCAGCTCAGTTGAATGTATATAAAAGCCAAGCTGCTTATCTTATCGACCTCATTTACTCATGTATCCTCTGTTTGTTCATAATTGTGTTGAATTTATTCAACTTAAATGTGTTTTATTCATCTGATTATGCCTGAAACACTGGTTCCCACAGCAACGCGCGGGCATATATTCTAGTCTATTCTAAAACCGCAGCAACGCACGGGCGTATATTCTAGTCTATTCTAAAATTGAGGAAGGATTTACTGTTCGTTCAGCTACAGTTAAATTTTTGCCCCTCAATTTCACCTTATTTACAAGAAACCCATCAGATTTGGGCTGGGTTGGAAGGGTAATTATTAGAACTAAGGAGGTAATTTTGTCCATAGGGTGGGACGGATTGGCCCTTGATTTCACCTTATTTACAAGAAACCCATCAGATTTGGGCTGGGTTGGGAAGGTAATTCTTAAAAGTTAGGAGGGTAATTTTGTCTCTGAATAATTTCAAAATATTTACGGTTTTACCAGGATGCTGCTTTCCCGAGTGGATTTCTTCCTCTCTCATCAGCTTTCTCTCTTTTCATTTCATCTTCGCTCAAGTTTCTCTCAACCCTAACCGTCCCTCATATTTGTCTCTTCACTAATCATTTAGATGAACTCCTCTCGCACTGCCTTTTTTTTTGCTGTCTACTGTTTCCGTCTTTGTCTCGACGATCATCTGCTGCCCTTTTTGTTACTGGAATAGTCTTCTGCTCCTACGAATGTCTTTGGTTTGAAACCCTTAGTTGGCTACAAGTTTTTGCCGTTTTCGATTTCATCGAAATTCATTTTTTTCCTCGCGTGATCTAGCATCTTCTGGTGATTTTAAGGTCTTTTTCAGTGTGCCTAATTTAATTTCTTTTTTGTGGTTTTCGATTTGCAGGTGGATGTTTGATTTTTTTTTTCCTGTGATTTTGGGGGGTTATGTCTCTGTGCTATGATCTTGCGTGTGGTTGTCTAATTTGTTTCGGTTTTTGCTTTCAGGAAACGATGCTAGCGAGGAATCGCCGCCACCAACAGAACTTGTAGACTTGGACTATCAGATTCTCACTCAACCCGAGTGGTGCCGGTGTTGAGAAGCTCACCAAGAGCAGGCCCCGTACCACCGCTGCCATCTCCATTGTTTGGGGAAAATCCATCGGAGAAGATAAGGACTCCATCTTCTCCAAATTATCATTGTTTATTTAATATTTTATTATTGTATCTTTAATAATTCCTTACCACTACATTCATTATTTAAATGTTAGAGTGAAACTTTAATCATTCATGGCAGGGTACAAATACAGAGTGTAATATACACCCACTATCTCACTGTCTGGAAAACTCACTAAGAAGATAAGAGCATGTGTATCTTCTTTACAGCTCATTGTTTAATATTTTATTATTATGTTGACCTAAAACATATCACATCACATACCATTTTATTATTTAATCCATTAGACACATGGGTAGGCGGATCACATTCACCTAAAACCCTCTTTAATCCGTTCACCCACTACATCATTTTGAGTATTATTGTATTATTGCAACGACAATTTACAAGAATAAGCATTACTAGATGTACACCCACTACAAGAATAAGCATTTCTGATTAAATTATTATTTTTGATAAACCCATTTAGAATCTGATCTGGGTTTTGTCTGGATTCCAGGGTAAAAACTGTGAAACTTAAAGTTGGTTTGATCTGGGTTTTCCAAGTTCTGCATGGAACTGTTGGCTGCTGCTGCTCCGCTCCCACAATGCTCATTTTTTACACATTGCTTCGTTGATCCGATCCCCGCTCCAATCTGCCAAACAGGTTCGTCCCCCCTCCCAAATCCCTAATTCGTATTGTTTATTTTTGTCCGAATTTTGATCTGATTTTTTTTTCCATATTTCCAGTAAATCATTTGTTATTCCTTCTCATCTCTCTCAAGTGCTTTCACTGAAATTTTAAGTTCTTGGATCGTATTTTGTTTCTGATTTTTGTTTGCGTTCAGTGTGATTTTGTGTGAAAGAATCAAAGATGTTGGGAATTTTAAGGCAAAAAGTGGGAGCTGGAAGCTCATCAGCTATGGTACACCCTCTACTTCTGCAATTTATGAACTTTCATTATATAAAACACTTGATTAATTTATTATTATGTGATTTACTGCCTAATCTTTGTGTTGGTTCAGATTTTGGGGCAGAGGATCCGCCCTGCCACATCGGCAATGAGGGGTTGCGCATCTTTGGCGAAAGAGGTAATCTGACGCCTACCATCATCTAATCTTTGGCATTTATAATCCATGCGATTGCTTAACAAAAAATTTGTGGTTTTTGCTTTTTTAGAAGATTAATTTTTGTATAAAATATAAATCTTATAAACATTCTACCCATTGTTTAGTTTAACGAATTTTGTAGTGTTAGTTCTGCACCATTCCAATTTGCCTTTGATTGGATAAATAATAGCATTGTTTAGCTAATTTGCAAATTTCCTCATATTCCTCAGCATTTTTAGTCAAAAATTTTAGATTTTACAGATTTTTCCAGTTCAGGATGATAAAATTTAGGGCTTTGATTTGTTGATGTGATTTCCACGTACTCTGAATTCAAATAGAAATGCAAGGATATATTAGATGTGTGAGTAAATTTTCAGTCTTCATATATTTGTTTAACCCTTAACGATACGTGAATTATTGATTGATAATTTGATAATATGTATGCTATTATTGATTAAGAAAAATTAATTCGTTAATTTGTAGGGCTTGGTTGTTTTGGCATGTTGATGTTATAAAGCTCATTTTTATAGTTAGGTTGAAGATCATGTTAGTAGATTTTTTTTTTGGTTGGTTCGGATCGGGCAATTCCGGAGGCCCTGCCATCGAGGTTAGTCTGAAGCAATTCCTATCTTATTACTTATTACATGTCAAAATCTGCTTCAAATTTGTAATTTAATATAATTGGGCTTTAGAAAAAAATTCATGATTTTGTCTAATCCAATTGAGTGATTAGAAAAATTTTCATCAAATTTCTGGGTTCCTGGGGGGTTCTGAATCTTGATGTTGAGAGAGCTTGGTTGCTTTAATTGCTAATGAAATTAGCTTCTAAACATTCATAATTTGCTTTTTTATTTTCGTTCTATATTTTCTTTGAGTTCAGACCCTGCGTAAAGCGGAAGCCTTGTGCACTGGGTACGACCTTTTTATTTTCTTTGAGTTCAGATATATTTGTTTTTTTTTTTTTTGTGATATATTGCCGATGCCAAAATATCATATTTACAAGGACAAAGATAGCAAGGTTCTAAATCAAATTTTTATCCTGGTTCTACTGTTGGGTTCACTATCAATAAAAGGCACATGAAATATGGTATTGATTTTAGAGCCTTTGATTTCTCAGATTGTTTTCATATATCGAATGTCATCTGAATTTAATTGTAGTTAATTTGTCAAAGTTTGTTGTTGTTTAGCTTTTTCAAATGGCAGCCTTAGTATTTGCCCGGTATTTTTTGTGAATTCCAAACTTTGCTTATAATTGTAGGTACGTAAAAGCTGCCAATTGGATTTGTTCCCCAGATGATAATGGCATACCTATATAATGGTTGTTCTTTTGCTTTGATGTAGAAGTAAGAAAATTGTTTTGCCCCTTATGTATCCTGCTTCTTTTTGTCCGTGTGTTCTTTGTTCAAAGGTTGGTTGGTTGTTAAACTTGCTGCTGTAGAAGAGTTAATTTCTGGTAGGCAGATGATTATAGTGTTGTTCCTATTATGCATAAGGTCGTGGTAATAATATTGTGAGATTTTATGTCTGCATAAATCCTGTAGTGGTTTTGATAATCAGAAAGTAATCTCTCAACTTCTTTGTGATTATAGTTGCTTTGATACTGTCATAGGGACTTTTATCATACTTACAAATTGATTTTGATATATCCATTCGTAGGTTTAAAATTTTTGTCAAACCCAAAAGTTACCTTGCTGGGTATATTTAAAAAGTAGTTTAATTAATCAATATTACTGTGGTAGTTTTCAAGTATTTGTTAATTGGAATTAATCCTTTTGGTTTTATTTTTAAAATTACATATCTGTGGTAAGGAGAGATACCTATTGAAGTTTTGAATTTCCATTAAATCTGATCATCAGGTGCTTAAAGATTTGAATTTTTAAAGTGGTTCCACAAAACCTACGAAGTGGTTCCACAAAAATCTGCAAAGTAGACGTTATGTTGCTTGCAGCAGTAGATTGTTTAGGGTTTAGGGTTTAATTAAAAAAGATATACAAAAAAAAAAACTAGGTAATGAGGCACTGAATTGGGTTTGAGAGTTTTGATATTATGAGAGAGGTAGGGAGTATATAGGGAGAGAGGGAGGTAGGTGATTTGCAGAAATGGAGGGTGAGAGAAAAAGGGGAGAAAAGGGGTAGTACATTCTATTTTGATTTTATAATTTTGGGGGTTTTGTGTTTAAACTTTTTTAGTACTTTTTTGTAGATATAGCCTACAAATGTTGATCCAAAGGTTGGACATAATCATTACTTTAAAGTTAATTATATTATCTAAAGTTGATTTGAATGTGATGATGATGTCAATGTATATGTAAAGCAGAAGTTTTACTCTTTCGTGTTGTTTATCTCAATCTAGCTCTGGTATTTTGAGGGTCTCCGAGAATACAATATACTGTGACTCGGGTCTCATAGCTTTCTTGCTATATGATATCATATAAGTAAATGCTAGAATGCTAAATTTTAACCAAGACCATACTCACAAGCAAAATACAAATACAAAAGTTCATTTTAAAATGAAGGTTGTGATTTATCGAAAGATGTTCCGTAAACATAGGAATTATGGATATGTAGGCATATGTATTTTAGCATTATGTGATGAATAGGTTTATTTTTTCTTAAATTATTTTTCTTTGGGTATTGCATGTCATGATCACCACAGTGATGTTTGATGTTCTTCTTCAGGTGCTTCTTGGGGATGTTGGAGCTGGGAAATCGAGTCTGGTGTTGTGCTTTGTAAAATAACAATTTGTTGAATTTCAGGTTTGTTCTATATCTTTCAAAGGACGCATTTTCTTTTTTATCCATACCTGTACTTTTATAGTATGTTATTACCAGAATCAATTGCCACCCTTAGTTGGTGGTATTATCTTTACAACACATTCAAAGCAGCGAATAAAATCGCACTTGCTATTTGTTCTGTCAACTGGACTACTAAAGTAGAACTATAGAAATATCTGGTGAAAGCAATGAAGAAATCACTATGATTGATCTGCAAAGAAGCTCTAATAAGTTACAAGAGAGTAGCAATGTAAATTGAACTGTTTATTTTGGGGATCAATTCACCTATCTCTTGCTTTTTCTTTCATTTGGAGATAATTGTGTAAATGTGTTGTTTTGTGAGCGTTACTAATGTAAAACGTGTGTTATCTGAATTGCTACATTTAAGAATGTGATTGTATTCCTGTAGCATTTTCAGTTAATTTTGCTATGAATATTATTCATGGTTTGAAAACCCGCAGCAAAGCGCGAGCATTCCTACTAGTGATATCGATTCTGGAAGCATGCTAAAACAAGGCCGTTTGGCCGCAATTCACAAGAATTGCTCTGCCTCCGCCTCCGCCCCGCCCTCGCCCCCCCTCGGCCGCCGCCGTCGTCGCTGCCCGAGCAGTTCAAATTCAAACAACAACCCCAATTAGGCTTCCACAACATCAACAACCCTTGCGTTGATCTGTACTTTCATTGTGCCAAGGGACATGACGCCATGTCGATCGTGGAAATCCACGAAACTCTGATGAACCAAGTGCTTCCCTCGTCCTGGTCGCATAATCCTCTAACCACCCTCAAACTCATTTGCGCGACGATGGTGGAAAACGCAACCAAGACGAAGCTTTCTTCACGGCGGCTGTTTGGCTCCACCAGAACCACCCCAAAACCCTTGCCTACAATCTCGTGCCAATTTCCAGCTCCTTCGGACATATCCTAGACCTTCCCTGCATTCTCTCGCAGGTTCTACGGGGTGAAGCTTACTTGAAATTTACTAGGAGGACGAGGGAGGAGGCGGATTCAAACGGAATGGTGAAGGTCAAGGAAAAGGACGCCAAGTCAAAGGCAAGTGAATTGTTGTTGAGGAGGAATGCGATCCGCACGGCCAACAAGGCGGCTCAGAGATACGAGCGCGACGCTGATTACCGCTTCTTGCACGATCGTGTTTCAGATATTTTCGCCCAGTGCCTCAAGTCTGATAAAAAATTTCATCATCACAAGGACCATGACCATGACCATCATGATGATTACTGCTTGGAGATTACCTAAGCGGCTACCTTTTTGCCTACCATTGCTGATCATCTTATGTTGTTCGTAAACATTGCAAGGAAGGTTTTCCTGCCAGAATCATGCCTCCGAGAAAGGGATGGTAGTGTTTGTTGTATTGACCGACTGAGGAAGAAGGTTTTGTTGCCCTTGAGAAAAACTATGGCGCCAGAGGGTTGGGAACCTGCCTATCGGTGGGGTTATAGAGCAGAGTACAAGCTAGAGCATCTGGCTGCAGCCAATGAGATTGATCCTGGCAATGCTGCACTGCTTCCGCATGACATATTAAGCTATATCAAGTATCCTGAGCTCGAGTAAGAGGCTGATGTTAAGTGGAAGAAAATGGTGGAGGTCTACTCAAAGCAGAGGAAGCTGAAGAATTGGCTGGCTGTGTGATGTCGACAACACCTTGTCGGCGGGTTTGGCTTTGGGGCTTTTGTTGCCACAGTTGAGTGACGAGCCATAGAAGGGAAAAGTGGTCACCTAAAGCAAACCCTCAGCTGCATTCGATACAAGGCGAGGTTCTTAATTCGAGGGCCGAATATATGCAGACTTTGATCAAAAGCCAGGACTGGACGACTGATTTTGGGAAGGTGTTCGCTGTGATTCTAGAAAAGGCAATGAATGCCGAATTTGAAGCCAGATAAGATGGTCAATAAGGTCCTTGCCTTGACCACATACAAACACTCCTTGACAGGCAGCAACTTCAGCTTCTGGGGGGAGACTAAGATGTCTCCCTTTCTTCTTCTAGTTTCTGCTACTAAGTGTGTGTGTGTGTGTGTGTGTGTGATTAATACTTTTGTAGAGGAGCAAAGTGAGTGACAAGAACTAAAAAAGTGGGACTGAGTGACAAGAACTAAAAAAGTGGGACTAGAAAAAGGTAGGCTTATAACGTTCAAATTCTAACGGTCACTTTCAGTGGAGGCAATAGAAACGAATAAAATGTGGGGGTTGGACTTGTTGCCTCAAGTGATCTGGCACTGGCACTTCCAAATGTAAAGAAACAAGGCACAAAGACAACTAGACGAGCACCATAGCCTTAAACGGGTTGATCTTGCTTTGGAATTTTTCATTGATCCGAGGTTATTTTTCCGAGGTTATTTTTCAACTGAGATTTGCTTTGGTGAGCATGAACTTCCCTACATTTTGGTTTTACTCGGCCCCACCGTTGAGACCACTCATGTGAGAAAGGTGACACTTGCATGGCAATTTAACCAAAGGTTTTCTTTAGGTGACACTGATCAACCAACAATTAACAATCACTCATGTAATAGAGTTGGCTTATGCAAAATCCCTACCAAAGAGTCATATTAGGGTGACATCGTAATCAGTCATATTAGGGTGACATCGTAATCAATCAACAATTGACAATAACTCATCTAGAGAAAACTCGTGGCTTTTGTTTATAGGCATCTACTAAGATTGCTTATGTTTTATTATACATACTTGGCTATCAAATAGAAAAGGGTGGTGCTATTCACACCTATTTTGACCTCCACCTACTCTTCTCATTTTTCGGCCGTCGGATCGAATAAATTAAAAAAGACCAAAAGACAAACTTACCAAAAAAATGTGTGAGAAGTTAAAATGGGAGTGAATAACACCAACTATAGAAAAAGAAACATCCATTTTTTTCCCTTTTGATTAAAAGAGGAGATATACACCGCAACATACTAACACAAAATTGACATGTAAGTTTGACTCAAATATCTATAAAATCGTATTTATTTTAGATATACATCATCATAGCCAAAACCTTAGGCATAAAAGACCCAAGGACAAGTACATGGGTGCACAAAAGGATAAAAGGCGTTCGGAAATCATTTCCCATTATTTATCACATTCCTTCTCCTATAATGCCAACGAGCAGTGATTGAGTGACGTTTACTGGAGAAGGCGCAAGGTCAACCCCGGAGGTGTTAGCATTACTTGCATCGCTGCCTTCGGGCTGATAGTTGAGGCGAACATTACTATGCTTGGATGCAGTTGATGGGGTATCATCCTCCACCAAAAATCTACCTGTTGAAAATGTTGTTACATCTTTAAAATTATAATCTGTCAAATAGTTTGGCTTCGACATAACAGTGCCTATGTCAATGTCTCCAGAGAGCATTGCAACCAAGCGTGACATAGATGGCCTCGCCATCGGTGATCCCTGCGTGCACATGAGAGCTGCTCTTATCAATCTAGTTGCTTCAGTTTCATCAAACTCTGTCAATCTCGGATCCATTAGCCCCAGAGTTTGGTCGTTTTCATGTAGAGTCCATACCTGAAAAACATTATGCCACGATCAAAGGAAATTATAAATAAGTTTTTCACAACAATGCCTAAATGAGGCTAGGCGTATGCAATTCCTACCCATTCAAGAAGATAAATCTTTTCTGGATCCAAGTTATTGTACGAGTTTGGTCTCCCGCTGAGGATCTCCAAAACAACGACTCCAAAACCAAACACATCGACCTTCTCTGTCAAATGTCCAAACATTGCATACTCCGGTGCCAAATAGCCTCTGCAATGCAAGATAATCAAATGGTTGCACAATGTTGTTTGAGATCATTAGAGGCATTATTAACATGTGTTAAAATTTCATGCAAGTATAAATGTGTGGCCATAATGAATGTATCCTCTGGAAAAACAAATGGTTGCACAATGTTGTTTGAGATCATTAGAGGCATTATTAACATGTGTTAAAATTTCATGCAAGTATAAATGTGTGGCCATAATGAATGTATCCTCTGGAAAAACAATAAAGGTTGGCTTACATTGTCCCTGCAACCCGGGTGCTGATGTGGGTTTTCTCGTCATCATAAAGCTTTGCCAGTCCAAAATCTGATATTTTTGGTGAGAGTTTTGCATCGAGCAAAATATTACTTGCTTTGACATCTCGATGTACAATCCTTGGCCTTGACTCCTCATGAAGGTAAGCAAGTCCTCTTGCTGTTCCCAACAATATATTGAATCGAGTAGGCCAGTCAAGGTGCAAGTTACTTGTTCCTGAAATATTAGTGAACACATCCAATCAAAAACATTTCTTAACAATTTTAGAGTGCTTGAAACTGCAGACAATGATGTTTCTATGCAACCTAAAAGTAGATAGGTTTGTACCAAAAAGTGCCTGATCAAGGCTCTTGTTTCCAAGATACTCATAAACCAAAATGCGGTGGCTGCCTTCGATGCAGCATCCGTACAATTTCACTAGATTCCGATGTTGCACAGCAGATATGGTAGCAATTTCAGATACAAATTGACTCTTCCCTTGGTGAGATGCTACTGAAAGTTGCTTCACAGCCACTACTCTCCCATCAGAAAGTGTACCCTACAATGTACACAGAAACACAATTTAGTGACATGAAAGGAAAGAAAAAAAAAAGTTTTATTTTCTTCTCTCGCTTGCTCGCTCTCTCTCCCTTTCTCTTGTCATTACTTTAAGTACATGATAATGATGTAATACGGATTTCACCTTATAAACAGGGCCATATCCTCCCTCTCCTAACTTATTTGAAGGATTAAAATCTTCGGTTGCAGCTCTCAACTCAGCATAATTGAAAGTATTTGGTCGAGGGCCTAATCCTAGAATATCTGCACATTCACGAAACAGTGTGACATAAGTTTTACTTTCGTGAAAGCATTCTTACTTGTGTGTGTTAATGTCAAAGCAGAGAAACCTGAATTGGATACCACTAATAATATGGTTGTTTACCTTCGTCGTCCTCTTTTTCTGATTTTTTCCTCCTGATATATAGAATCGCAAATATTAATAGTAAGCTCACAACTCCAACAGGAACTGCAATACCAACTATCAACCCAGTCCTGCTCTTCTTTCCTGGAGTAGTTGATGGAAGCCTTGAAACTGTTGGTGTAAAATCTGAGTGATAAAATAGACGAATTCTTCAG